CCTTGTATTTTCCAGTGGCAATCTACTTGACCAAGTATGATGTTGTTCCCAGGAATTGATCCCTTCTGATAACGTATCTAAAGATGAAGCTTCAACCTTGCTTACAAGTTAACACTCCCACTGTACTGCTTTCAAGACAGATTTGTTCATTCTTCCGGAAATGTCTAGTACAGTCAAGATTCTTCACCAATACCATAATACAAAGATACCAAGTCTTCAGTCCTCCTTACTGATTCTGCACCTCCGAAATGGAGATGATAATGGAAAATACCATGGTTTGTGTCAGATGCCACTTAGTCCTCAAGCTGACAGTTTTGGTTTTGAACACTTTACAGTGATATTTCAAGGGAGGTTTGGCCAATGCAAAATATTTTTCTTGACTTCTGTTTCCATTTTAAATCCAAGTAAAATGAAATATTTGATAATTTCAGTCTTTTGTCCACTTATCATGTGTTACTTATCGGTTGAGCAGGGAAAATCCTTTTTATGGTGAAGTGATTTTGATGGTCAGTAACCAGAGAAACTTAAAGAAAAAATGTTAAAAAAAAATCCAACTATTTCCAAATAACTTAACTGCATCACAGAATAAAGCTCTAGATTATTTATGTGAACACAAACTATCCAGCACGAAACAAACTTCTTGAAGCCTGACATTCTATTAAAAAAAAAAATTACCAGTCATAGAAGGGGGGGAAAAAATCACCCAATCTGAGGACAAAAACTCAATTATTAGAAAGAGACAAAAAAAATAGCACATGATAAAATTACTAGATGATGCAAAAAGTATCGATAACTCCCTGTCACCTGCTCAAGAATGCGCAGGAACATTAAAGGCGTAGAAAGTATTTGAAAAACAAGTAGTGGTCTTTGGCTCAGTCTTTTCATTCTCTGGGAGTAATTTAAAAGATATAATTACTAATTTCCTTTCAAGAAAACCAGGGAGCATCTTGATTTTTTAAAATATTATGCTACTGAGCATTGCTCTGGTGTATGAAAAAAATTATTTTCTGGCTTGACTTCTCAAAGGCTTTCATCTAGGCAGATTTTGGATTGTCGAAGAGCCTCAGCTAAGACTCTGGCAGCTCAGACCAATACACACAAAGGAAATGAGGAGCTAGAGCTTTGACAGTCAAGTACAGAAAAACCTCATCAAATGTTTGGAACGTCTCTCAAAGCCAATTGATTCTCATGTAACGGTAAGGGAGTTCAGAAAAATGAGTTCAAAGAACCCACTGACAATAAAAAGCTGTGCTGTTGTCCCTGATCTGATGGGGTTTTCATTTCTGCACTTTATAATGAAAGCAGGATTAACTGTCCTACAAAAATCTGGGTAAAGCTACAGTCAATGAGATCATCTACTAAGAACAAAATCTCAGTAGAAGAACATAAAAGAATCATCTAATCTACATAAGAACATATGCTATGGTTTTATAACTATAAATTGTAGGTTCATCACAAAATCAATGGAATACATGGACAAAGAATCTCTCATACACAGAGAAATATTCACACCCATAATCAAAGTATGAGTCAGTACTCTTTATTTAATAATTGACATTATACCATTTACAAATGGAACACAGTGAACTACAATTAAGATATCAGAAATAATGTGGATTCCTTAGGGTATATGCCCAGTAGTGGTATATCTGGGTCAAATGATATTTCTAACTTTTTGAGAATGTGTCACACTGCCTTCCATAGTGGTTTTTTACATTTTACCACTGTGTATACCCCACCAGCAGTAATGAGACTTTCAATCTGCCCCCATCCTCAGTATATTCTGTTTGCTGCCCTGCTGATGCCTACAGATTTATGCACACGTATGTCTACTGCAGTATTATTCACTATAGCAAACAGATGGAAGCAACCCAAGGGGATAGAAAAGCTGTGGTACATCCACATAATGGAATATTATGCAGCACTGAAAATCAGTGAACATGGAGAACACTGCAAAACATGGATGACTCTGGAACACATTATGTTGAGTGAAATATCTCAGTCACAACAGAACACATACTGAGGTAACTCAGACACAAAAACATCACTGACATAAAAATAAAAGGACGGATATGAGGAAGAGAGAACAGGGAAAGAATGTATAGAAAACTAACACTATACTAGAATGGGAGAAGCGGGGGATTATCAGTAGAGAGTGGATGATTAAACATTTTGTGTACGACAGTGTGGAACAAGACAGGGATTACAGGAAAATGTGGATCAATGAATGAAAAACAAAACAAAACAAAAAAACCAAACCCCAAAAAACCCCAAACCCATCCTTTCTCTAAACTTCCCCTGAAATCACAATTTTAAAAAATTTTAAAAACACACACAAATCTGGAAATTATACTTTTTTCTTTTTTTAAAATTTCTTTATTTTTCATTTCAATGAACATCTACAGAGATTTTGGAATTCCATTCATTCATTGTTGCACCCCTCTCCCCGCCCCCCCACCCCCACCCCCATTTGCTCCTCTCCTTCAAACGCAAAAGAAAAACTCCCTCATTGGTATGCAATCTCCCACACACATCCCCCAACCCCCAAATATAATCCACTCTGCAACCCTCATTCCATACTCTTATGATAAACATAATGCCCTAAAATATATTCTCTCCCCCAAAGACTTCAATGCCGTAAACATGTTTCATCCAGTTTTTCTCAGTCTTACCCCCATCCCGATGTCAGCCTCATTCTACAACAGTGGCACCATATAGCATTTGTCCCTTTGTGACTGAGATACCTCACTCAGCATAATGTCCTCCAGGGTCACCCATTTTGAATAATATTGCATGAGTTCCTTGTTTTTCAATGCAGCATAATATTCCATTGTGCGAATATACCACAGCTTCTCTACCCACTCGTTTGTTGATGGGCATTTGGTTTGTTTCCAACTCCTTGCTATTGTGAACAAAGCCACAATAAACATGGGTATGTATATATCTACGTGGGTGCCATTTATGGTCTCTTTAGGGTATATTCCCAGTAGTGGAATTGCTGGGTCAAATGGTATCTCTATTTGCAACTTTTTGAGAAAGCGCCACATCGCTTTCCACAGTGATTGCACCATTTTACACTCCCACCAACAGTGAATAAGGGTTCCAGTCTCTCCACAACCTCGCCAGCATGTGTTGCTTGCTGTTCTGTTAAATTTTGCTAGTCTTACTGGGGTGAGATGATATCTCATAGTTGTCTTGATTTGCATCTCTCTCAGAGCTAGGGATTTTGAACATTTCTTCAAGTATTCTGAAAAATTTACAACCAGGAGAAGATAAAATAGATGAATGGGACCTTCTAAGAATCAAATCCCTATGCGCATCCAGAAACTTCTCTAACAGGGTAAAAAGGGAAGCCACACACTGGGGAAAAGTGTTTGGTAATAACATGTCAGATAAGGGACTTATATCTAGAATTTATAAAATACTTGAGCACCACAATAAGATTAAGGTGAATAATCCAACTGAAAAATGGGCACAGGATATGAACAGACACTTCACCAAGGAAGACATTCAGATGGCCAACAAGCACTTTTTTCTTCCATTAAATTCTTGTAATACTCTAGATATATAAATCTCAGTCCATACCCTCACAAACTACCCTGAGAGCACTGGAAGACACAGGCACCTTGTGGCTCTTCACCGTGGCTGACAGGGTGATGGAAAGACAAACAGGAGCCGGCCAGCTGAGAAGATGACTGTGCATCTTCAAGTGGTCACCAATTCTTGTATGCTTATAGATGTTTCTCAGTAACAAGTTTCCAGCACACAGTCTCAAAACAAGTTTGGTTTTAAATTTTAGATCTGAACTCCTTCCTATTTATTCAATTTTATATTAAACCAGTTGCTATATAATAGATCCTGAATTATGAGGACCCCATGTGAGTCAAAGTACAAGTATGTTCCATGGGGTGTTCTATGGCTCGGTTGTTCTTTTAAGAAGTAAAGTGCCACATTTTCTGAGTTTCCACTAGGTATTATAAAACTATCAACCTTTTTTTATTAACAGTGAAGGGCATTAATTATTTCTACCACTCAAAACCCCAAATGGTACATCTGTAAAGCTTACTGTCTTTCCTTTCTTAACACAGAAAATAAAGTAGTACTTTTCAGTGGATTAGCTTGCACTTCGGAATGATGGTCAATTCTTAAACACACAAAAAAAGAAGTCAGAAGCTGACTTTTTTTACTCCATGTCATATGTACTTACTCTAGCTTCTTCTAGACCTGAGAGACTGTGATCTTTCTTTCATGATACTGTCTCAAAAAATGCTTTAATATTATGTTCTTGTTCAATAACAAAAGCTTCTCTCTACTTCATCTATGTTAAAGAAGACTTTTCAACTGTTGCTATCAGCGACAAAGGTGAGTGAAGAAAGCTGATAGATGACATGCAAGGGAAGAAGGTCAAGATGGTCCAGAGAAGGCTAGGAGGTTCTTGGGAGCAGAGAGGGAAATTTGCCCTGTTGGTGGGTAAGAAGATAAGGAAGTGCCAGGGCCAGTTTACGGGGGCTGATAGACATCTGTCTGGCTTGAGAGGGTCTCACAATGTACTCCTACCCCAGAAATCAGTCAGGAAACTGAATTCTCTCTCTCTTTGGGTAAATGATTGGCTAGTTCTTTTCAGTAGTCACAAAATGCCAGAGATAGTTAACTATTTCAGAAGAGGAATATTACAACAAGTTAATAGGTAAATAATGTCATTTTTCATTTGTAGCACTGCTTGAGTTCTTCGGTCATTTGTAAACATAAACACAAAAAGCATCATTAATTCTTTTTTGGGAGGATTAGTCTGTTATTTTTTAAAGTAACAAATAATCTCACCTACTTCCTAAAGCACTGCAATACATTTGAGGTCAGACTAGTAAGTAGGTTGGCATAATAAACTCAAGGCTCAAACAGCTAGTCCAAGGGGGGGCTGCTATAGGGTGTGTGGAATTCAGATCTAGCCTGAAGGAGATGTGGCTGGTAGATTCACGTGAGTGCTGGTTTTTGAAACTTACATCGCTGAGCCTCTCCCGAGAGCTGCTCCGGTGGAAGCCCTTGGATTCTCCACTGGCGCTTTCACTGTCACTGTCCCTGCAGCTGTTCTGTCCCGGCTTGAGCTAGAGGAAAAAAAGAACAAAAAAGAGTCATGAACTCCTCACACAATCGTCTCTTAGCACCTGGTTCCTTAAACTTTGTCAAGGGTGAACATGAAAGTTCGGAGCACTTAGCATTCTTCTAAACAATAGGAAGGAAGATGCCATGAACAAAATCACAACGGAAGTTCTTCACAGCAGTTGACGTTGAGTGCCACTAAATTGAAACAAACTCACAGCTGACTTTTCAGCAGGCTCTGGTCCAGTAGGTGCAGCGTCACGATGGAGAGACAGGAGACAGAAATTGTCAACAGCTTCATCTTGTTTGCATTTACAATTAACACCGTTGGTATCAGCAGTCAGAAAATAAGTCACATTTTGCACTGCAAAAATCTGCATTTAGGAACCTCTCCAAATTACTAAGGTGTAGTGATATCAGTTTGAGGGCTAAAGTGTTTCTGATTCAGGCCACAGTCTTTCCGATCACTTGCTATGCATCTGAGAGCTGGACAAGGAATACAGATGACAGAAAAAGAATTGACGCCTTTGACCTGTGGTGTTAGAGAAGAGCATGGAACATCTCATGGACAGCCAGGAGAACAGACAAATACTTTGGAGAGGGTGCAGCAGGAGTGCTCTTTGGAGGTAAGAATAATGAGGCTTCACCTCACATACTCTGGACATGTTGTTAGGAGTGGCTATTCCTTGGAGAGGGACATGATGCTGGGAAGGGTGCAAGGTTAGCGAAGGAGAGGAAGACCCTCAACTAGGTGGAGTGACACGGTGACGGCTGAAATGGACTCTTGTGTGTTGGGAAGCGTGAGGATGATGCAGGCTAGAACAGAGTTCAGATCCTTGTTCATAGGGTTGCTCTGAGTCCTACTCGACTCAATGTGTCACGTTAACAACAATTCACATAGAAGTTGATTACCCACCTTTCTCCCAGGAAGCAGCTAGCTGATTTGAACTAAGTTAGCTCCGATTTGGCGTCGCAACTCCTTACCACTAAGTCACCAGAGCTAGCACGCAGGAAAACACCATGCCGATCGATATAGGGAACAGAGCCGGGCTGGAGGAAGTGTCTGGACTTCTAACCAAGGTCCCTGACTCTTGGGAAGTTATTTTCTCAGCTATTTTTTTCTAGCGAATTTTTTTTCTCTCCTCAACAGTTAAAAAAAAGGGGGGGGGGAGCAGAGGACAATAAACATTAAAGATGCTAAAGTCATATTAAAATGATTTGATTCCTTGCCTGATTGCTTTTGTTTCTCCACTGAGAAAAGAATCAATGAAAGAACAACAACAACAAAAATAACACCCCCAAAAATAAGCTTTCTTCTCCTGGGAGAAAATTATGAGATGATGTGATGTTATGTTTCAACCACTGGGAAGACACTTAATGATCTTGTTTTTTAAGATAATATTCTGGAGGTCTCTTGCCAGACACAGAAAACTACAAGATTAAGATGTACAGCTTAAGTAAATGAAGTCAGCACACATTCAACAATGTTTAATAAGTGCTTCATGTGTGCCAGAGACTAAGTGTTGGAGATAAAAGTACAAAACAAAACAAGTCTCAGAACTTATGAAGCTTACAGACTAGCAGTTTCCACACTCTTACCCAGCTCCAAGTTTCCACTGAAAATTAACATGAACGATTGAAAACCATCTGTCTCTGACTCTGAGGCCTTCACACATGGACCTTCAGTCTATGATGTCATCAGCAACCACATGCAGAACCTCCATAGATGTAGGCTGTAAGACATGGGCCCTTCAAGATGTCTGCAATCTAACAAGGGCAAGACAGTACACGCCAAGAAGAATTAATGACATGGGGAAGCAATGCCAAACGGAAACCAGGAGCAGAGTCAGCAATGACTTGTTGAGAGATGAAGTGATTTCTGAAACCTGAGATTTTCCAAGTCCACTGACCTCAGACGACTGACAGGATGAGGGAAATTACTCCCCCCAAGGGAGAAAGCAGAGAGTAAAGGCCTTGGAATTCGCATGTCAGGAAATGACTAGAAGGTGCCTTATCTCTCAGAGAGTACACTCCTTTGGAGAGAAACAGGCAGAGACAGTGAAGAAGGGCTCAGAGAACAATATGCAAAGCCGTCAACCAGGCACAAGTCTCAAGTTTTGAGTAGAGAGCAGCACAGGTGAAAGCAAGCAAAATTTCAACCTCCAAATTTAAGTGTTCTGGGGCCTGTGGGGAAATTTAAGCAAAGCTAACAGAGAATAAGTGTGAATGGGCATCCTGGACCTCCAGCAAGTCACCAAGAATATAAAGGCCTGGCCATATCATCATGCCAGCCCAACAGACACATTATGGACTGGTTTTTAGGTCCCTGTGCAAATCCACTTCTATCACTTCAAGTTCCCCCCCCCCCCAGTAAGTCTTCTCTAATGGAGACCAGAAAATTGATGATAATTTTACTGCATATCCTTCTGCGCCCCTAAGTACTTAGTTTTCACCAAGGTTAATACTAAATCTGCTAATTCTAAATTAATTCACATGCAAGCTATATGAGCCTTTTATTATTACTATGGAATAAAAGTTCAGAAGATTGTCATTCTCTTCAAGTTTCCACTTATATACTTATAATAAAGGAGGATTTAACATAAGACCAACTTCCCCTTCTCTCATTTTCTGAACATATTACGTCCACCCTGGCCTGACTTTCCCATGTTCACTACTTTTCTCAACTTCTCTGATTTTATTTTTTTATAAATTCAGATCTCACTTTTTCCACTATGGACTTTGAGGAGCTCATTCATGCTCCATTAATTTTTCCCCCCCAAAAGTATGTCTTCAAAGTTTATCTAGAACACCAGTGATAAGATACATTTTTCATGTTTTAAAAGGCCCGTTGTTAGAGACAGTTAATAACACCTGTATGGCAAGTGGACACTGTAACCCGTAAGCACCGTGAGGACCACTACCCCTCTCCTTCCGAGCTACATCTGATTTATGGATTTACAGGTGTCAAGGAAAGCCATATCTGACTGACGGAAGTGAGAAACAAACTAAGCAAATGATCTGTTCAGAATCAGGCCAAACGCCCAGGAGAGAATATCTAAGTGTTTACTGCCAACTGCTCCCTCCACCATTCAGTTTTAGCGTCCTTTTAGATTTTCGAGCTTCATATGAAAAGATGGTTCTTCAATGTGTTGTCGAGGACCACTGAGTTGAAATTACCCCTATCAGGTCCTCCAATGGGTTTTCAGGGGCAGGACAGTGCATGGGAAGAGACTGTCCAACTGTCTCCCACAGAGAAGCTGGCCAGATTCGAACTATGTGCCTTTGGGTTAATAGTGCAACTGCTTTCCACAAGCCACTGCACTCACTTCAGTGTTAGTAAACTGTATATTTCATTTCTATGGGGTTCCTGACTCTATTCACAAAGATAAAAGGTAATGCTTGATGAAAACCTCATTTTCCAACTTAGCCGGACAATACACAGCTAGCTGGAAATGAAGGGTAGGAGGCTTTCACCAAACCATGGCTGGAGGGCATTCTCAGTGCTTCTGGATGAAAGAAAAACGATGACCTCAACAAGGCCCAACGAGAGACTCAGTGTCCATGACACAAATGATGTGACCAAATGTTGATCTAGGCTCAGGTCACACAGTGGAGGTAAAGCCCAAGAAAAGCTGAGAGGAAGCAAACCCTCTCCCTGCTCGGCCAGAAAAATCACTTCAGCAGCTACTCTTCAGAGAGCATTACACAAAATCCGCCCGCGTTACTCCTTTCTCCTCCAAAGCAGGGCTCAAGTTTAAAGGAAATTTAGGATTTTAAGCTGTCAGACAGCTCAATATTTCAAAGAGATGGACTGACTACAGTAAGTAGTAAAGCTAAACCACAAGATTTGAGCCAAAGCAGTCTTCATTTCTAATCCTATGAATACATTTTCAAACTGGCATTTTTCACACACATCCAATGGAGCATTTGGGATAGCATAACAAACTCAGAAGTTGTAATCCTTCACCTTAGATTCTCAGCTATTACCTACAACCAAGAGGCACTGATAAGGGCAGGTGCTGGCTTAGTCATTTAAAGACCTAAGAAAAATAGATCTGCGTGCATTGATTTGTCCATCAATTCAAGGCAGTTCTGTTATAAAACAGCTTTTGCTTTAACTGATGCAGCAAGAATATTTATAATAATCCTTAAGCTATCAAAAGGTCTCCTTTATTTAAAAAATTACTGTAACTTACTCTCCAATTCCAGAAATCTCTTCAAGTAAGAATATTCTATCATTAAGGCCTCAGAATGACAATAAAGCAGACAAATGCAAGACAGAAAGAGAGCTAGTGTCTGACATAAGTGTCAGTAATCCTACCAGTAAGATTATAATATTTTGATAAAACACAACAAACCATTTCGCTTTTCCTTGGATTTCATTGTCAACAACGTATCCTCCAAACCCTGAAAGAATCATCTCATTCGAGAGTTAACTCTCATTAAAGTCTACTTAGGGAAATTATAATCCATGGTTTTATTGGTGTAAATGAACGTATAGTAAAGGCGAGTCACTTTGGGCTGGGACAAGGTCAGCAATGCTGTGCACTTCTCCCAGCCTTGTAATTGTCCTCAGCTTGAGTGTGAAGGGGTCCAACAAGATTCTAGAAGCCCACTAGGTGTCAAAGATCCTTCCAACCAAGTTTATAGGAGGAGGTACCTGTGCCTGGAACCTGCAAAGAGCGGTGTAAATTCTGCAGTGCAGTGTCTAAGGCTCACCAAACCTGCTTCCACAGACCTGGATCCTATCCCATGGCAGCCTGTTGGCTTTTCCTGTCGGGAGCTAAGCGGCCTCTATTACAATGTTTTAACTATGTGTCAGTGAGCTCAACGCCTCATTTTTCAGTGAAACTGTATAATCCATCAATAGACCCCACCACTATCAAAGCAGCAAAGCTTTAAACATGCAAAAATATTGTTGGTTCTGCTGCTGTTTTTCCTAAATAAAAATGTCCATAAATTTCCATTCCTAAAATTAGGACAAGCGGCATGTACTGGGTGACAC